AGTCTGGTAGAACCCCTCAGAGGAAAACTGCTATTATTTACCAAAAGTATTATAATTTTGCTCATTCTTTGACGCATAAATGCACGTCTAGAAATTTATCATAAGGAAATAATCAAAACATAAGCAGAAACATACCTGCAAGATTAAATATTATAAAATGTATAATATGGAAACATTGGTAACAAATAAATTGATGTGTTATTGCTGCTTTAACAAGAGTGCCGCAATTCAGTGGCTTGCAATGAAACACATGAATTCTGTTACAGGTCAGGTCAGAAGTATGGGCTGGGACTCAGTGGGCTACAAACAAGCTGTGGGCACGAATGCATTCTTCCTGAGGCTACAGGAGAGACTGTTCCCCTACCATCTCTAGCTCCCAGAGGTCACCTACCTTCCTTGACTCAGGGCCTCCTTCCTCCATCTATACATCCAGCAATGGCAGGTCCAAGGTCTTTTCACTTGGCATCTTCCTGGCTCTTCATCCATTTCTTCCATTATCCTCTTCCCCGACCCCCTCCATTGGAAAAGGTTATCTTTCTAACCGCCTGAGCATTATTTGTTTTTGTTTTAAATATATTTTATTGATTTTCCATGAAAGGGAAAGAGTGTTAGAAACATGGATGAGAGAGAAACATTGATCTGCTGCCTCCTGCACACACCCCTCCTCCCCCACTGGGGATGTGCCTGCAACCAAAGTACATGCCTTTGACTGGAATCGAACCTGGGACCATTCAGTTCACAGGCTGATGCTCCATCCACTGAGCCAAACCAGTTAGGGCTCCAACTCAAAGTTTTAATCATACAGTCTTTTTTGCCACATGAGGTCCATATTCATAGGTTCCTGGGATTTGGTGTAGCCATATTCTGCTCATCACAGAACCTGTATGTCTAAGAAAAGACTATAATTAAATAATTGTGATACACTTTTACATTGAAAATGTTATATGATAATGAAAGCTGTACTGTATGAAGAATAATGGCAATTAAGTATTTTAAAATGTTAACTGTGCTAAGCATTGTTCTAAAAGCGTTATACATACTGACATTTCCTTAATCCTCTCAACAACCCTATCATATCTGTGTTATTATTCCCAGGACCCCCTCTGTAGATAAGGAAACCAAGGTATAGAGAGCTAAATAATTTTGCTCAAGGTTACATGGTTGCTGAACGACAGCTTGGCATATGAAGTTAATTTAGCTGTAGAGTCAATGAGTTTAATAGTTAATGAGTTAAACACATATTATTGATCTATTGTTAAATGGGGAGAAAAGCAGACTAAAATATACTCTGTATGATATAATTCTAGTTATGACCAAAAAAATAGTTTGTGAAAAAATGAGATTATCCCTAGGTGAAACAATTATGAATTCTTATTTTCTTTTTAAAACATATATTGAGCCCTGACTGGTTTGGCTCAGTGGACAGAGTGTTGGCCTGCGGATTGAAAGGCCCCAGGTTCGATGTTCGATTCCAGTCCAGGACATGTACCTTGGTTGTGGGCACATCCCCAGTAGGGGGTGTGCCAAAGGCAGATGACTGATGTTTCTCTCTCATCAATGTTTCTAACTCTCTATTCCTTTCTCTTCCTCTCTGTAAAAAAAAAAATCAATAAAATATATTAAAAAATTAAAACATATATTGAAAATTACTTTCCACCCCCCAAAAACATTCCAATGAATTAAATGTGTTGGTTTTTGTAACTGTAAAGACAGTTGCTGCCTTGAGTTTTTTAAAAACGATACCAAACAAAGTAAAACCCAGAGTGAAATGGTCAGTGTGGTTACAAAGCCAGGCCTGAGCCTTGCTGTTGCTGAAATGACATTGTGAGCAGACAGCTATTCACTCAGTGGCTGTGCACCTACTGCATTCCATGAATTGTTCTGGGAGATACAGCAGGTAATAGGTGTGAAATAACCTTGAAGAGTGCTTTGAAGCAGGGTGCTGAGGTCAGCCAGGTGGAGATGTGTGTTATGTGACACATTCTCCCCACAGAAACAAGGTAATTAACAACAGTTAGGTCAACAGACGAGGCAGCTCCAGTCTTATATAACGGAATCGTATAAGACTTCTTAATAAAAGCACAATTGACATTCCAATTTGAGGTACTACTTAGTACACTTCTATGGGAACGTTGATATTCTCTTTGTCGTTTTTTTCACCAAGACTCCAGGGTCAATAGGAAATGAAACAAGAGGGGTCCAGCCACCTTAAGGAATGGCACCTATTTCTCTAAATCAGGGACTGTTCACTCTTCTGAGACCGCTGTGCCAATGATGCCAGGTCAGGAATAAAAGTCCTTACAGACTGCCTCATGTTGGTTTCTCAAGGAGCAGCCCAGACACAAATATTTGAGTGAAGTGGTTTATTTTGGAGGTGATCCCAGAAAGCACTCGTAGAAGAGAAGGGAAATGAGGCAGGAAAAGAAGGAAACCATTTAAGAGTGCCTGAATGAGCAGGTTATCTATTTGGGCAACTGTAGGCACTACAGACTCAACTGTAGGCACTACTGGTGGGGAAATTCCTGGTATAGACCAAAGAATATCTCAGGGGCTCCCATCTCTGGGTTGAGAAGCTGGGGTATTTATCCATATACTCCCATCCATTACTGGGTGAGAGTTGTTCTCAGGACTGTAACCTGACTCTTGAATCAAGCACCTCTTGTGGCTAGAAAAAGCTCAGACAGTCCCAAGTGACCTCAGAAAGATGGGCATGCCCTGAAAGGCGAGAATCAGGCATAGACTAGGGGCAGAGCCCTGAGAGTCAGCTGTAGGGAGCAGTATACTGCCCTTTAACCTAGACAGACTAGGACCACTCAGACTCTTGCTGGGACAGAGCAACTATTGCAGGACTATTGATGGATCCACTTACACGCATTACTGCAATTATGGATTTTAACAAATAATAGGATGCTTTTCACAATATGGCAACAGCTTCTTTAATATTCAACATCAGTTTGCAGCTTTCTTTTTATTTGGCTCTTAGCCCTCTACCGTGTGTAAAGGCAGAACAACTAACAGAAACATTAGCCACTAGGTGCCTCTGCCTTCACTTTCACCAGGAGTTGTGGAGTTCCTATTACCTACCAGCTCCACAGTGGGTAAGAGCAGGTTTGGCCTTTTGTAATTTCATTAACATTATAAGATATTTTTTCAGAGAAGAGTCCGCTTACAAATGGGGTGATTAAATGTGGGCATTCTTGCCCTAGCCTGTTTGGCTCAGTGGATAGAGCCTTGGCCTGGGGACTGATAAGGGTTAGATTCCAGTAAGGGAATGCCTGGGTTAGGAGCTCAGTCCCCGGTGGGGGTGTGTGCAGGAGGGAGCCAATCAATAATTCTCCCTCATCATTGACGTTTTTATCTCCCTCTCCTTCTCTGAAATCAATAAAAATATATTTTTTAAAAAGAGTGTAAGAGTATGTATTCTCATTATAGTAAAATATTCGCATTGCATAAACGTAACAAATCAAATTCCTTTTTGACTCTCTATGGTTGACAAAAAAAATTTGAAAATCAGACCCCTAGCACATCTTCATATCCCGGGACAGTTCATCAGAAATGCTGGCTCCCTGGTGCTACCAAGGAAACCGGACCCTGACATCCTGAAGACTCAGGCCCCAGGGGCCTCCCTCTGCCGGGGACAGGCTGCTCCGCTCTTCCGATTCCCGCCCGCAGGTGGCAGCAGCGGGCTCCCGGCGCGTCCCCGCAGGTCGCGGGGGCCGCCGCGCGGCTCCGGGCTGGCGCTCACAGCGCGGTTTGCAGCAGCGACCTCCAGGAACCCCCCACTCCATCCGGGACGGCCCTCCAGGCCCGGGGCTGGGGTGCGAACAGGGTTTCTGGTCCTTTCCTTTCTGGAGTGCAAACCAACAGCAGTTAGAAGCAGCAACTGCAACTCAGTGCGTCTCCGCTTCCTCCGGTTCCCAGGTTCCCTGACAACTTCCCCAGCCACCGGCTCCCTATGGCCGAGCGGCGCCGGCTCCGCACCGCTCCCCGCACCGGCGCTCGCAGCCCCGGAGCCCGGCCAGGCAGCTGGCAGCGCCCCGCTCCCCCTGGGTCCTCCTGGGCTCGGACTTGCCCCGCGCAGGCTTTCTGGACCCGCGGGATGCTTGGGCAGCATCCCCATTCCGTTATTCTGTTCCCCCCCATTCCGTTATCCTGTCCCCCTTGGCTAACCCTTCTCCCCAAACACACACACACACACACGCACACTCGCACACCCCGCTTGCTATGGCGCTCAGGCTGGGTTGCGGGCGCAGGACCGTCCCCAGCCCAGCAGTCGCGGACACGCCGCCCGGACTCGCCTCCCTCGGACTCGGCCGGCGGCGCGGGGAGAAGTGGCCGCCTTCGGAGGCGGGGGCCGGGCGCCCGCGGGGTGCAGGCTGCAGGATCTGCGCAGCAGGATCAACACATCTGGGCGCGGGAGGGGCCGAGGCGCGCGGCTGCAGGGCGCGGCGCGGACCCCGCAGCCCTGCGCGCAGCAGCCGCCGCCGGGACCGCGGCGCCGGGACGCCCCCGCCCGCGCGCGCCGCGCCCCGCTCCCCCCGCCTTCGGCCCCGCGCACCCGGGCGCCCCGAGCCGCGCGGCGCAGGGAGGCGGGCGGGCGGGCGGGCGGGGAGCGCGTGGCGGGCGCGCGTCGGGCGCAACTGGGCGGCCAGATGCCCGTGGGCGCGGCGGCGCGGCGAGGCCACTGCTGCTGCCCCCGCGGGCCCCGCGCGCGTGGCCACGTCCACGGGCGGCGCTGCCCGCGGCGCGGCGTGCGCTCCCGCGAGTGGAGGTATGCGCGGCGGGCGCGGCCGGAGCCGGAGCCGGAGCTGCCGCCGCCGCCGCGGCGCCCGCGGGTCCTAATGCCTGTCCGCTCCCAGGACGCCGGCAGCGGCAGCCCCGAGCCCCCGAGCCCTCCGCGGCAGGTCTGCCCGTCCTCCCCGGCGCTCTGATTGGATACAGTGGGGGCTCGACGGTGGCCGGCGTGGGACAGCCTGGCGGTGGCAGGGGTCTCGGAAACCATGGGCTATTGCAATGGCAGGTGCACGCTGATCTCGATCTGTGGCATGCAACTGGTAAGTGGCACTTGGGTCCGTGCTCTTCTTGGGTAGCGTGTGCCTCTGAGAGAGTGGGCAAGCGGGGGGGGGGAGGGGGGGTGTGATCAGATCAGGAAAGGGTCTGCGATGGATGAGGATGGGGGGAAAAAGTAAAAGAGAAAAGGGGACAGACAGATTGTCTATATTTAAAATGATTTTCAGGGAGACGCACCGTGTGGTAGAAAGGCTGAGCCTTTCAGCTCCCCCCCACCTATTGCTGTTCCTCTGAAGACAGTTTGGCGGGTGTGGGTTGAACTTGTCTTTAATTTCTTTAAGCAAAGCAAGATGAGCTGTGGTTCTTTTATGCTCTGCATCCCTAGGACTGTAATAAGGTGATCGTCACATATCATTCACCATACAGGTAACAGAGAAATGTGGAACGCATACCTATATATGGATAGGTTTACTTTCTTCTGTATGCCAATGTTTGCAGTATCTTTGTTTCTTCACTGACGTGTTATTTCTCATGGAATATGTTGTCTTACGGCTAGAATGCTGTCACAGACCACCCTGTAGGGCAGATGGTATCTTTAAAGTGGCTTGGTCTGGAAGCCACCTTGAGTTTTAAAAGTATGCAGATGGAAGAGAAATACTTAGATGAACTTAGCAACACCATTGCCATGGACGGAACCAGTAGCCTTCAGATCACAATTATGACAAACAATTCTAAGGGGAAAAAATATTCTGCCTTACATTATGCATGTCTTTGCTCCTGGAATAGATGCTATTGTTTGATCCTATAGGGTAGAGAATTATATGTACTACTTTTCTGAGGAATGTGGTTCGGTTTTAAAGAGGCAAGGAGCCAATAATGGAAGTGTCATGTCTCTGAATTTAAATTTCCTAAGGGCAATAGAAAGAGGGGCCGAAAATACTTTAGAGGTGAAAAATATGCCACTGTAAGTGGTTAATTTGAAGTAGGAGGTGCTTGCTTGCTCCTGTTATAAAATAGCTTTCCCTGGAAAGTATATATTAACCTGAATAGCCACTTACGTTTCTAACAACTGTTTCATAAAGGCGGAAAGGACAAGACTGAAGGAAATTTCTGAGAGTCCAATCAGGAAAGTATTCAGAAGAGCAAAGACATGCTAAGGAAATGGATAGAATTCCTTAAGTGTTCTTCTTTGTTAGCAGTTGTCATCAGTGGCGGTTGCTGTTATTGCTTTGTTTAGTATTCAGCTGAATAGTTTTTTTTTCTTATATATTATTTCAGGATGTTTATCTTTTCCAGGAAAGTTACCTTATGATGTATATTTTGACCTGTGAGTTAAGAAAAAGAAGATACATATCAATATAATTTTAAGAAGGTCATATTTTCTTGATGATGTATAAACCACTTTTTTTTCCTACCACACATTAATTTACATTTTGAAATAAAGGATTTTTACTCTTAATGATAAAGCTGATCAGAACAATAAGAGAGCTTACTTTGTTAAACTACATTAGGCTAAGTATGCCAAATTGCATGAGCATTTTCAAAACATTTGTATATTCCTATATGAGTTGGAAAAGAATACATTTGCTTATTCATTGTGTAAAAGCATAAAACTGAGGATGAGTGGGTGGGAAATATCATTCTTATACTCTTTTACCTTTAACCATTTAACATAGTAGGGCTTTATTATGGCAAATGTAGGCATTAGATCTATACAGTGTTTTGTGTGAATACAAACTCTTCAAGAACTTAAACGATTTAAGAAAAACATCAATATGCAATAGGGAAGCTGAATATACAAAGTAGCAGGATAAGGCTCAAGGTGTGTGTGTGTGTGTGTGTGTGTGTGTGTGTGTGTGTGTGTGTTATATGCATGTCTACATGCCATGGGTTTTAGGAATGGTGCTATATTGCTAATGAGACGGAAATTCTTAATCAAAGCTAAGTTCTCTAACAAAATAGAATTTGCTGCAATATAGGAGTGCTCAATCTAAGCAAGTATGCACATTTGAATCCCAGGAAATATTTTACGTTCAATAAGGATCATGAGATTTTGTTTATCCCATTCAAACATATGTGCTACCAGGATAACATAATTAGCAGCCATATTCGTGCAGATGCAAAACAAAAAACAAAGGAGGAAGACTATCCCACTGGCTTGATAGAGAGGAATGATCACATTTAAAGGGCCTTGGAGATTTCCGGTAATTGTTGCTTATTAGGAATATAGTAGTCCATTTTAAGTAAAAGAATTCTTTTGCAAGTTAATAGTGGCAAAGCCCCAAACAACAAAATAATTTGGGTGGGTGTATATGTTTTCCTTTGCTCTTGATAGATCTGTAAAAACTTTTGTATCTCTGAGCTATTATGAGTAAAGATTGTTTTATAAGTAGCCAGGTTTCCAGAATAAGTTATGACTCCTGTACCTCTGATTGACACAAAGTTTACTTAGTTTTATTTACTTCTGAAGTGTTAGTTTTATTTACTTCTGAAGTGTGTAGTGTGGGTCCTTATAACATTGGATGTAGTCTTTTTGTAGCTGTACAGATGAAATTCTAGTTTGTTAAAATTAATTGAAGACCATGATAGCCTAAGATAGAAACTTTATTGACTTTCTTAAGTAAATTTAAGTTTCTGAAAACATTTACCTCCAATCTTATAAGTGGAGTATATTTTCATTAGACTCAAAGGAATATTTATGTTTACATAAAGTTGCAACTATCTTAGAAAACGAGGTAGCTTGGGAACCTCATTTGTCACTTTTTTTTTTTTTTTTAACAAGTGAAGGACAGAGACTAATCCCGCAGAGAGGTCTACCTGTCAAGATTCTGGATAGTTGCTTTTAACTTGTTAAACATGTTTTTAAGTTAATGCTGGGCAGAATACAAGTGTGAGTAAATATACATTCTTTTAAAAATCTAGGAAATCAGGTTATAAAACAAGACATTAGAATTTCACACAACAGAGATATAATACAAAACGTTCATTCCATGCCTCTCTGAGCTACAGAGTTACTCCAATTTCAGGGGTCAGAGGGACTCCTACCCAAAGGGGTGTGACTCTGGAAACCGATTGGCTGCACGTGCAGGGTCTGGAGTTTACACTCATAATCTCAAGAAAGTAATTTTCCTCTTATCCTCGCTGTTCTTCCTTCTCAGAAACGGAAGATTTTAGGTAGTCACAAAAATCATGATGGCATTTGAAGGGGTGTATAGAGTGGGTATAGGAAAGAACAACTGAAATTCTTATTTACAACTTACACCAGTTTGAAAAAGTTGCAGCTTTAAAAAAAATGTTGGGTTGAATGAACGAGCCCTTTATATAAACATTGAAAAAAACCACTCAGTCATAATATGGAAGAATATAACTTATTTTAGATGTCAAAGGCAGCTTTGTTTTTCCAGTAAGGAAATCCACAATCGCCCCCATGTGTGTACACGAGGCTCCTACGTGGCACAAAGCATGAGTTCTCAACTACTGAAAGAAAGCACAGATTTCCATTCAAAGATTAGCACTTGGGAATGTCACCAGCACATGGGGAATGTGCTCCATGAAATACTGCTAACTTGGAGCAGGTGCAACTAACAGTTGGGTTGGTACACATGCATGTGCAGCTGTGTGAAGAAGCACAATGGAAACGTAAGTAAGAAGGATCAGCTGTTTGCTGCTGCAGTAACTAAGCACTCTCAGAGGCACACATGTATTGGAGAAGGCCATGAGTACATAGATGGACTAACTGAAAACAAACTCGTTATAACTCTGGAGTACCTTAGTGGTGTCAATCGTGATTTTGTGCCCTCGGCACACTTACATGCCTGCTAGTTATGTCTTAGAAAATAAAGTGGTGCCTTGAAAAGTGCGGGCAGAATGTTATGCTTTTCCTGGGATACTTTGCACAAGTTTGAAAGTTCTCTGGAAGTGCAGAACGTTACCTGTCAGAAACACTCCTGCTCAGAGGATTAAACGTTTCAGATTTCGATAGCATTGATAATCCGCCATCTTGAAGTTCTTAATCAATCTGATTCATGGAGAAGACTAAAACTTTCCAGGTAATATTTCAGAAAATGTATAGTGTAAAGAGTTGCTAAGAGTTTGCTAAATTGTACACTTTATTTCTTCTTTTTAGTCATTGTCTACATTTGGACCCCAACATTTTTATATATATGTATATATGTATGTATGTATATGTGTATAGATATGTATATTCTCTCATTATAATTCATTACTACTCTCCTCTAATGTTTACCAAAGGAGATACAGAAACTTAGTCCAGGGTCCTGCTCTCTTCCTTGGTTCACAAACCTGGAGGCAGCTTTTTCCCTCATACACCTGAAGTTTCCAATAGCCAATCTGTGCAGAGATGTTCCTCTTTGTCAAATAAAATAAAGGGCAGCGTTTCCTGTACAGAATGCCAGTCATCTCTGGCAGGGGCCCGAATGTGGGCAGGGGCCCAGACATGCAAACGGGCACTGCCACCTCCTTTCCCTCGGATGCAGCTCTACTTTGGAGTCAGATTCTCCTCTTGACAACTCGAGAATTTCAGAATGGCTTTCTCTCAAGTAGCTTTGAAACAAATATGCCTAATAGTGGAAATTACCCAGTTTCCATGCCTTATAAATGGAATATCAGAAATCAAACACACATGCGGGAGAAATGTTTCTAGTCTGTTGTGTGTGTGTGTGTGTGTGTTTTGTTTGTTTTGTTTTTCTTCATCTAGATAAAGAGCTCTTTAATTTTGATGTCCTTTCTCTCCCATAGAAACTTATTAGTGTTTATTGTCAATATAATAAAATACATAGGACACCACAATATGATGTTTATCTAGGATTCTCCCTCGATAACAACAATAGAAACAAGTACTATGTCTATACATACTTCATTTCACTAGGGTGGGAATAACAGTGTTCTCGCCAACCCCAGGAAATGGGAGGGCATTTGAAAGTTATGAAGGCATTTATATTGTTTTCTTTGTCCAGGCGAGGTGTAAAATGAAATTAACAAACTGGTTTCTCTTAACAGTTCTGATGAGTTTGATTTGGAAGCT